GGAAGAAAAGCAGGCAGACCCAGAGCTGTGCAGCTTGGGGCTCCTCTCTCCTTCAGCTTAGCCAGACCCCTATGTTAGGCCTAGTAGGGGATAAGTAAGTTACAGAGGAGGGGAGATTCTGGGGATGCCATGGGTCATCTATCCAGACTGACACACCCCATCCCCCACCCTCACCCCATCACTTCCGCCTCAGCCTCCCCTCTCAGCCCTGCACCATCAAGCCCCTGGAGAAGCCAGCATAGGTTCTTTTGTTTTTGTTTTCAAGACAGCTCTAGCTGGCCTTGAACCCTCTTATATAAACCAAGCTCACTGTAATCCTCCTGCCTGTGTCTTTCAAGTGCTGAGATTATAGGCAAGGTCCAGCAAACTGGGGCTTTGTTTTGTTTTTAGCTTTTTTCTTTTTTAATTTAGCATTCTGGGGTGTGTGTGTGTGTGGATCGCACACGCTCAATCCTGACTGAATACATATGTATGTGCATTTTATGATGCAGTACCCCAGAAGGCCAGAAGAGGGAGACGGATCCTGTGGAGCTGGGGTTAGGGGCGGTTGTGAGCTGCTTGACCAGTGCTGTGGACCAGACCCTGGTCCTCATGAAAGAGCAGCAATGCTTTAGAGCTCCAGGGTGGTTTTGATTATATTCTAAAGGCAGATAATAACATGTGGTTATCATTGCCAATTAGCATGTATTAAGTACCTGCTGTGAGCCTGGCCTTTGTGCTGAGTCAATTTGAACTATCCCCCAGTCTTTGCCTCAGCCCCAAAATGAGTTCTTTAATCTGCATGGGGAAGGTGAGGTTCATGGGGACAGGTGACCAGCAAGGCCATGCGGCCAGCAGAGGCAGAGTTGGGGTTTGGATTCCATGTGAGCATGTAATCAAGTCTTAGGTAGTTTAGCCCTGCCACCCCAGCCTTCGGCCCACATCAGGGCCTCCGGTGCATTGTAGATGTACGTTTTTAGGACCTCTGGGGCATGGTCACCTTCTCCAGAGCCGCCTCTCACCTTGGCACCAGGCTTCTGGCTCTATGTCACCTGGCTTGAGGATTGATAATTTTTGGAATGGTAGCCAGTCCCTGGCATTGTCCCCCAGGGACTGGAGTCTGCCTGAGTTGGAGCCCAGCCCTGGTAATTGATTGACCTTTGATTGATGAAGGCTGAGGTTTGGGGCCTGGCCTGGCCCAGCCTGAAGCTGCCAGAAACCAGGGAATCCACAGCCCGACTTGACATCCAAGTTTTGATATGGTGTGTGCTTCCTTTACAATGCCTTGTTCTGGCTTTGAGAGAAGCATAGACCTTTGAATGTAGGTCCAGCCGGGGACCCAGAAAAAACAACGAACATGTGGCTCCCAAGCTGGAGTCTGCATCCCAAGCTAGTACCCTCCTCAGTGATCTTCATTCCCAGACCTGACTTGCTATGATTGCTGAGCATATAAAATAAAGTGTCTGGCATGTAGTGGTTACTTGGCAAGATAACTAAGTCTCACGGTGATAGCTACCATGCAGAGTTAGCTACTCCTTTTGTGGACTCTTGGCTGTAGCCTTGGCATCTATGAGCCCCGGCAGGTCTCCCAGTAACCAAGAGGCACCATGACACCTGGGTTTCTCAACTATGATCCAATGACATTAGGACCCCTGATGTTTAATTTTGACTGTCAACTTGACACAATTTAGAATCCCCTGAAAGCAGACCTCAATAAGGGATTGTCTTCATCAGCAACCTATGGGCGTGTCTGTAGGAGATTGATTTATGCTAATTGATATGGGAAGGCCAAGTGTAGGAGTAGACATGGGTTTGGGTTTTTTGTTGTTGTTGTTTGGGTTTTTTTGTTTTTTGGGACATGGTTTTTCTGGGTAGCTTTGGAGCCTATCCTAGCACTTGCTCTGGAGCCCAGGCTGGCCTCAGACTCAGAGACCCGCCTGCCTCTGCCTCCCAAGTGCTGGGATTAAAGGCGTGTGCCACCAACGCCCTGCTGGGTTTTTAATTATGTAATAGCATTATTCTAGTTTCCTTCCTGTACTGTGATAAAGCACATGAACCAATAGCAATTTGGGGAGAAGAGGGTTTATTTGGCTTACACGTCAATATCACAGACCATCATTGGGAGAAGGCAGGACAGGAACTCTAGTAGGAACTGGAAGCAGAAACCAGAGAGGACTGCTGCCTCCTCTGGCCAGTGCTCAGCTAGCTTCCCTATACAGCCCAGGACCACCAGCGCAGGGAATGGTGCCGCCCACAGTGGGCGGGGCCCTCTTACATCAATTAACCCTCCAGGTAATTCTCTACAGATAGACCTGCAGGCCAATCTGATCTGGGCAAACCCTTAATTGAGGTTCCCTTCTCAGAAGACTCTAGGCTTCGTCAAGTTGACAACCAGAGCTAACTAGGACAAGTGGGAAGAGTGCACGGGGAGTAGGGAGTGTTCATTCACTCTGCCATGGTGGGTGTGATGTGGCCTTTGCTTCAAGCCCCTGCCTTGGCTTCCCCAGCCATCATAGCTGTAACCAGGAATTGGGAGTAAAAAGAACCCTTTGTCTCCAAGCTGCTTTTTGTCAGGGTATTTTAGCACAGTCTCAGAAAAGAGACTAAGACAGGACCAGGCCATTCTCCTTGTCTGGGACTGTCCTGGATGCCATAGGCATCTTCCTTGGTGTTTGCTCAGGGGTATCCATGACTCCCAATTAAGACAACTAAGAATGGGTCCATCCATTACCAGATGTCCCTTCAGGGACACACACATTCTGCATTGTGCTGAGGGGAGCCCAGGCCGTCCGTCGGACATCAGAACTGTGATGTGCCATCTCTGACCTTCACTGGAATCCAAGTTCAGGGAGGAGGGTACTTGTGGTGCTAAGAGGCACGGAGGAGAGGCATCCTTGTGTCTTGCCTTGAGAAAGGCAAGTCCCTCACTAGGCACTCCTTGTCACAGGCATGCAGCAGGTACTGGCCCTCCACCACCTGAGACACACTGCAGTGACAGGAGGGGTGCCCAGTTACCTCGCAGGCCCTTCCTGCTATAGATGGGGGCTGGGCTACGACAGCCCGTGTCGACCTGGTTGACATCCCACCACATCCTCACACACCTGCTCCCAGCCCAGCAGTCCCTCTGCCCTCAGGGTCCACTTTGCCTGCCTGTCCCCACCCAGCCCTCTCACTGTGTAGGGAACCCATGGTCCCAAGCCCTGTGTTTGCTGCGCTTCATGACTTCCGAGGCCTGACTCACTCGGGCATGAGCTATTTATACCCTTCACACGGATGCTCATCTTGGCGCTCCCAGCAGACTCTGTTCTGCAGGTGGCCACGGGATGCAGGAGGAGGCTGGGCACAGAGAGACAGATTGATAAGGGCATCAGCCTAACAGACCTGAGATATTAGCCCAGCTCCTTCCTTACTGCTGTGTGACCTTGGGCCTCTCTGAGCCTCTGGCTATGAAGAATATTAAATCAAAGTAAATAATAAAGCTCCCATGCAAAGACAGTTTTCAATTCCTATGGGCTGTTCGATGTCTAAAGTCAGGTGCTGCTTATGTAACTGTAGAGGGGAAGGGAGAACCCGCAGATAAACATTCAGTATCTGTAATTTGTGTCAGAACTGTTCCCACCTGTCCATCTAGATGTATCGGGTATCAAAAAAGCCCCTCGTGTAACCATGAGGCTACTCTCCCAGGAGACAGTCACCCTGACAAGAAGACCTCATGGACCTGCAAGCAAAGCCATTGCTTCAGGTATGGGCCGCACCTCACCGGCTAGAAACTGGCCACTCACAGCACGAGGAGTGTGGCCATATTAGACCCTATCTCACTGATCCCTGTCTGCACCAGGTGCTGGTGGCAGAAGAAAGAAGGGAAGGGCAGAGATAGGCCTCGTTATCAGCTGGTTCTGTGCCAGGCTGCCCAGCACCCCGCCACTCCCCCCGCCACTCCCCTCGCCACTCCCCGAAGGTTCCCAGAACAGCCTGTTCCTGGACACGCCCAGGTCCACTGCCCCGCTGTGACAATGGCCTTGCCTCTGCCTCCCTCCCAGCACAAGGCTCCAAGAAGGCTGCTAAGACTCTTGGCTCTGAATTCATTCCTGACTCACTTAGTCAACAGACTAAGCACCTAGTAGGTGCTTTTTACTCTCCCTCCTGGAACCTAGCATGAGCTGGAGCAGTAAGTCAGATCCCCATGTGGAGGGTGCTGTGTGAAAGGAACCACTGGTCCCATGTGATGGGATGTGGCTTGTCTGGTGGACTGTGCACCACACAAACATACATCGATAGCAGGGCATGACAAATGTGTGCCTGTAGTCAGTCACAGCATGTGGGAGGGACACTGCTACAAGTGCAAGGGCAACCTGGGCTATGTAGTGACTTCCAAGACAACTGGCGCTGCATAGTGAGACTAAAGCAATTACATAAGACGCATGCTATGCTAACCTCTGACCACTGGGATTTTGCCTCTCTCTCTCT